TTTTGGGCCAAAATCAGTGCCCTTTGGTTGGGAGGTGCTAAGTTAGGTGCTGCCTGTAATGCAGACAGGGCTAAAAAGAACATCCACTTTGGGACCCAGCTTGAGTCAGATCCAGGTTCTACCACGTGGGCAAGTCACTTCGTCTCAGTCAGCCTCTCTGAACTTATCATTTTCTTTCCTGAAAATACAGGGATAATTATGCCCACCGAATAGATTTGTTGTGAAGGGTAGACGAGGTATGTGTGCAAAGTGCCCAGCTCAGCATCTGGAAAATTAGGTACTTGGTAAATGTTAGCTGCTGTTATTCCCCTTTTTTCAGTTTTTGTTTTTGTTTTTCTCATGCTGGGCTGCTGCTGATGTGGTGCTCTCACCGGACATGGGCTTTGCCTGGAGAGCAGTCCTGAGCTGTGGCTTCTTTCCCATGCCCCTCCTGGCACATCTGCCAGCGGCTCACGCCCAGGGTCATTTTTTTACCCTTTATCTTCTGTTCTACTTCCCCCTTGAATGAAGTCAGGGGTCCAGAAGCTAGTGTCACCTCTGGTACTCCATCTTCTCACCTCTCCCCCACCCCCAATGCCCCACAACTCTCAACCGCTGAAGCAATCGACACAACCTGCTGGAGGACTAGATTTTCTTTGTTCAGACATTGAGGTCTAGAAGGCCATCCCCCTGCCCCCTCCTTATTCTAGCTGGAGTCCACGTTACAGCCTATGACTTCTTTTCCTCTTTCCTCCTCTTGAGTCTGCATCTTTGAGGGGGAGGAAAGTGAAATAATGCCAGACTCTGAGTTAGAAAGCACACTGTTCTTGTCACCTGAGCCTTGGTCGCCTCACTTTACTTCTCTGAGTTGTACTTTCCTTATCTGTAGAATGGGAATAATATTTCCTGAATTTTGGCCTTACCAGATTATTATTATAAGATAAAGAATGCAGAAAGCTTGATAAACTAAAGTGCTATTTGGGCATCAAAAGGTATTCCTACTCTACTTCCTCATTTATTTATCCAGGCCAGGCCAGGCTTGGAGGGGAGGGGCGCCAGACTCCACATGTGCTTCCTCACTTTCCCAGGACCCTGCCCTACCTCAGGGGCAGAACCTGGTGAGGCTCCCCAGCCCTTATATCCTGTGATGGGCTTCCATGATCTTGTCATCCGGAAGGTGCAGCACCATAAGCCAAACCAGCTGTTTGCCAGCTCTCAGCTGCCCCCAGCCATGGTTCCTACTGCTTGGTAATAGGGGTCTGGGAAGCTTTGTTCCCCTCTCCCTACTCCACTGGAGACTTCAAGAAAGAATTTTGGTCTGATCTCTCAAAACTTTGACTCACCGGGGCGCCTGGGTGGCTCAGTCGTTAAGCGTCTGCCTTCGGCTCGGGTCATGATCCCAGGGTCCTGGGATTGAGTCCCACATCGGGCTCCCTGCTCCGCGGGAAGCCTGCTTCTCCCTCTCCCACTTCCCCTGCTTGTGTTCCTGCTCTCGCTGTCTCTCTCTCTCTGTCAAATAAATAAAATCTTTAAAAAAAAAAAAAAAAACCAAAAACTTTGACTCACCTGCTGTGGATATGTGGCTAGACTGTCAGAACATTCTGGGAGTTCTCTGAAATGACAGAATAATACTTGTAGCTACTGCAGAGTGCCTGGCACTTAGTGCCTGGTAATTAGTATTTATCTTGTTTAATCCTCATAGCATCCTTTGAAGTAAGTATTTATTATTTGCAGTTTACTGAAAAGAAAACTGAGGTTCAAAAAAGTCAAGTCTCTGTTCCAAGTTACACAGCTATTAAGTGGCAGCTGGAATTTGAACTTTATTGTCTTCTTCCAAAATCATTGGTGCTGACCACTGTACCACGAGGCCTGCCACTGATCTGTAGGAAGAGGGGCTGGCCATGTGCTTCAGAGGAAAGCTCAGGAGATTTCCAGTCATCCAATCTGCGTGCAAACCCCAATCCCCCTGATCTGGGGCAAGCGGCTTTCAACTTCTTGAGCTGCAGATACTACCTTATTACATCTTCACCAGAGACATGTGGCATAGGTGGTATTCTCATCTCCATTTTACATTTGAGGGGAATATGCCTCATGAGATAAAATGACTCCCCCTAAGTTACAGAGTGGCAGAGCCAGAACTCAAGTCTGGGTCTAACACCTGGTTCGGCGTTCTGTCCCTCCTTTCTCACGGCCCACTCCTAAGACCTGGTGTAGCACTCAGGCAAGCCAACAGCTCTGGCGTGCTGGTTGGGAGCATGTACGGGGAGGCAGCAGCTGTGCCTCTTCAACGCTCTTTCTTCTCCCTTAATCTCTCCTTCTTAGAAACCTTACTGAGGCAGTATAAACATTTGCAATTCAAGGAAAAGGTTATGCGTTTCTTTTTTTTTTTTTTTAAAGATTTTATTTATTTGAGAGACAGGATGAGAGAGAGAGAGCACATGAGAGGGGGGAGGGGCAGAGGGAGAAGCAGACTCCCTCCTGAGCAGGAAGCCTGATGCGGGACTCAATCTGGGGACTCCAGGATCATGACCTGAGCCGAAGGCAGTCGCTTAACCAACTGAGCCACCCAGGCGCCCAGGTTATGCGTTTCTTAAAAACTGCTTGAAGCCCCGCACAGAAGCCTAGGAATCTGCTGCTCATCTTTTGTGTGAGTTTGTGTTACTACTTTGGCAGCATGGTGTGGTGGTTATAGCTTGGAGAAAGTTCTTTCTGGGCTTTTCTCCTTATCATTTTAATCTTACAACGTTGTTGTGTTGGAGTTGATACATACCAAGGGCAGCAGCTGGAGCCGTGCTAATTGATGGCAGCAGTTTTCCCTGGCAGTGGCCTCTGCTAGAAACCAGAGCAGGAGTCCAGGGTCCTGGAGCTCTCACCCCCTTATTCTGTGACCTCGGGCATGTGAGGCACTGTCTTCAGGTAGACTGGGTGACCTCTAAGGACTCCTTTCACCTTTGATATCCGGTGCTTTTTAAAAATAAAAGTAAGGATGCTTGGGTTTTGTTTTGTTTTTTAATCTAACTGGACAGAATTATATGAAGTAAAAAATAAAAGACTGCATTCTTTCCCCCATTCATTCATTCCTGAGGTAACGTGTTGCCGGTTTGTGTCCTTTCCATTGTTTTCTGTATTTTTTTTTTAAGATTTTATTTATGTATTTGACAGAGAGAGACACAGCGATAGAGGGAACACAAGCAGAGGGAGTGGGAGGGAGAAGCAGGCTTCCTGCGGAGCAGGGAGCCCGATGCAGGGCTCGATCCCAGGACCCTGGGATCGTGACCTGAGCCGAAGGCAGACACTTAACAACTGAGCCACCCAGGCGCCCCTTATTCTTTTTTAATTAATGCTTTATAATTTATTAAATGGTCCCCTATTGATATATGTCATGATACTTTAAAGCAGATGTACACATGCAACATTGCTTTTAAATTTTCTTTTCAGGAAAAGAAGAAAAAAAAACATAGAGACAGGAAGTCGTCTGACTCTGACAGCTCAGACTCTGAGAGTGACACAGGCAAGAGGGCAAGGCACACATCAAAAGACAGCAAGGCAGCAAAGAAGAAGAAGAAGAAGAAGAAGCACAAGAAGAAGCACAAGGAGTGAGAGTGGAAAGAGTAGAGGGGGTGGTTGAGAGAAGGAGGAACCAGGGGCCTTGTGTCTTGAAGCCCTGGCTTCCTGAAAGACTCAGTAGTGCGAGTATGGCCTCCCACCCCACTGACTTCTCGCCCACGGGAGATGGCTTCCCCTAACACAGCAGGCAGGTTTGGGAGTTAGATGTCAAAGCATCTGCCTGAATGAGTTGTTAACTTATCATTCCTGGTCCCTTTGCAAGTGACCCCTGCAGCTCACCCATTCATTCACATGTTCAGCAGGAGGTCCTATTACCCTCTCCAGCTGCCACTGCCAGAGCCAGATTCCTGCACAGGAGTCCAGGCTGCAGCCACAGGTCCTGCTGTGGAGGCAAGTCTGGCTGTAGTTGGAGAACAGGGATGGGTCTTCCCTGTTGGGTCTGCCCTGGGCTGATTGGTGAGCGATCCCTGCGGCGTCCAACACAGAGGCTGAGGGAGACGGGCAGGATGAGGGAGAACATGGTAAGAAGTGGTGCTCACTTTTTCCATTCCCCCTAACATGATTCCACCATGCTACAAGTGACAGCCAGAAAACCATTGTTTGCAGTGACTGAGCTTGTGTGTGACATTCTGCCAGACCACTGATCCAGATAGCTCAAGCCAAGATCATTGCTTTACTTTGTATTTACTACTGTGTGAGTCAGTTGGTTTCACTTCAGGTCTCTGCTTAAATTCCTGGCACTAAATGGAAGTGTGTTTGGTTTTAAACTTGCTGAATGTTCTTATTGCTATAATCCCTCTGCCTGGGTAATTTACAGACTTGCAATCACTGAGTCTGCATTAGTTGACAGAAAAACATTTAATATATTACTTCAGACCTTGGAGAGAGGCCCAGCTGAGGTACAGAGCCAGAGGCACCAACAGGTCACGGCCTTCTTAGGAGATCACTTATAAGCCCTCTCTTTTGTAATGATTAGATGATCTCTTACCCCAGAGCTGATTAGAGAACCAGTAGAATTTGTAACCATGAATGGGCCAGGGCATAGGCAGGAGCTTAGCAGTCATCTTGACCAGTGGGCATTGTTTCCCACCACCAAGGCACAAGCCTGCATCCTGTGTCCTGAGCCTACATTCTGGAAAGACAGACCACAGCATCCCACAAAGAGCAGCTTTCCAAACCCAAGGGCCTGCAGTGCAGGATGGGCCTGAGGTGACAGTTTAGTAGCCGAACCTGGGGAAGCCCTGCCACTGATTATTCCAGGTTGGACTAGCTCATATGGCTGTGTGGAGGAGCAATGTAGAGGCAAGGTGTAGGAACAGCTGTTTTATTACTGAGCGTGTCAGGTGACCAGCTACTGCTGCCCCTGAGACTGTCCGTTTCAGTCTCTTATCCAGGGCTGCCTCTGAGTGACCTTCAGGCAGTCGTTTCTGCCCGCTGTCCGACACACAGGGAAACCGAGACTCCCAGAGTCATGTCACCAAAGGCAAAAAGGCAATTTGGTGACCTTGGCTCTGCTTTATTGACCTTAGAGCACCCTTTGGATGCGGTTAAAAAAACAAACATAACACAATGGGAGCTGGAAATGGACCCAGGCTGGTGCCACCTGACCCCAGAAGAATTTCCCAACCCAACCAAGGTGGATTTATACAAAATGCCAGAGGAAAAAATGAGGCAATCCGGTGCTGAGTCCAGGGCTAGCCGACCGGCAGAGGAGCAGACAGTGAAGGAGTGGGCAGGTCATGCCTCTTTCTCATAAGTACGAGTGCAAACTGCACTTCCATGGGTAAGTGTCTGGAAGGAAAGACAGAGCCAGATTAGGGCAGGGGTGAGGGCACCGAAGGTACCGGGGCAGTCTCCATTCAGATGGGGAAAGCCTCTCTCTTTATCCCAGTAGTCTACATTTACTGACCCCCTACTATGTGCCAGGTACTTTACATGTATTTTCTTCTAATACTTACACCAAGCTTTTCATTTAGTTAGGCACTTAATTCCTCTGTTAAGAGTTTTGGGAAAATGAGCTGTGAGAGGGGAAGTGACTTGGTCAGCATCCCAGGCTGTCTCTCTCCCTTGCACCATTCCTCTAGTGCCCAAGATGGTGCATGGCACGTCGTAGACAAATAGGTAAACAAGAATGTCCAGAGACTCTTGGGGAAGGGCTGTCCTAGGCTACCAGCTCTCCATCCTTCCCTGACTTAGGCTGGTGCCGGAGCCAGAGGCTTGAGTTATCATCTGTCCAGTCTGGCATTGTGGAGCCAGGCACATGGCCTCACCAGAGTCCCATTGCCCAGTGAGTATCTGGTCCTGCGGTTCACATGCCCACCAAAGCTAGACACCTCATTCTTAACTCTGCACGGACCCCTGCTCATGGTGGTGCAAGAATACAGGGAGCAGGGTACAGTGACCCAAGAAGGTCTGCAGTGAAGACGCTGGGGTGAAAACCTGAGGTCCTACAGAGTTAGGAGACAGAGACCACAGGGGTTGTTACCTCTGCCCCGGATCTGGGGCTGTTCAGTCATGGCTACATTCTTCTAGTGTAGAAGTCCCCAAGTCCCTAAACAGACTGATGTGCCAGCCTGGTTGTCCCTTCCTACCCAGGCTGTCAGGTAGTGCAGTAGGTCCGGCATGCTATACACTGAGAGGCAGTGGGGCTGGAATGAGGCGGAAGGGACTGGACTGTCATTGCCCCACCATCACCAGCCTGTCCCTGCCCAGAGGCTTTCTAGGTGGCAGCACAGTCCCAGGGAGGAGAGGGGATTAGGAGCCTGGGGTCCAGTTTGGCCCTGCTTTCTACCACTCCCGGGGTGGGGCAAGGTGGCAACACAGAGAAAGAGACTAAGGCTGTGGAGCACCTGTGGTAGCCCTCTCCCTCGCCTCTATGATGCTTGGTGCTCTGCATCACAGTCTCCTGCCACCCTAGCAGCCCATAAGGTTGGTGGTGTTAATGCCCATTTCACAGTGGGAGTTGGAAGAAGGTTACTTGTCTGAGGTCATGTAGCCTGTAAGCTGAGATTTGAAACCAGGCCTGTGTGAGGCCAAAGCTACCACACAGAAAATTCCCACCTGATACCACCCCAGCCCTGCCTCTACCCGCCACTGATCCCAGGGGAAGACCCTGGCTTTCACAACAGGCTCGACTGAAGGGGCAATAATGGGAACCAACTGGGTGAGGCTCCAAAGTTGTCTGTCTTACCAGGATGAGTTTCCCATCAACTAGCTCCCGCACAAGTGTTGTCTCTTGCCCGTCCCACTTCTGCACGTGGACAAGTTTGCCTCCATCCAGCGTCACAGTGGACTGTGGAAAGAGGGTAGAGGCCTGAGCTGTGATCTGAACCAGGATTGAGGGACAAGTTGGTGTCTGGTCATTGGGGCCACAGAGGACACTGCCTCTGCCCCAAACTAATGATGGTGCCAGGACCAGAGCTCAGGTGGCCTACTTCCAACCTAGCCCCGCAGGCTGTCTCATTTACCTCCAGCCTCTACTCCATGATTGCCTGGCTGGGGCCTTCAGGTGTTGGGCAAGTAGGGAGAGGCAGGCGGTATGGTGAGCCAGACAGCCTGGCTCTGAGAAGTACCACTAGCCTTCAGAATGGGCACTTATCCTATCCTCTACATGATACCCACAGCCCTAGAGCCCCTAAGAGATAGGGGCATGTACCATCCTACATCCCTGGGCAATATTGAGGAGGAGGAGTCCTGAGACTCTCCAGCCTAGTGGTGATCACACATAATGTCTAACAGACCTTGGGGATAGAAGGTATTGGAAACTGAGACTTCCCACTTTGTAGTCCTACCTCTTCTTGGTCCACATCATGTGGCCCCTTCAGCTGACAAGTAGACAGCAACTGCCAGGTCCAGGGACCGGGTGCCCTTGGAGTGTTCCAAAGCCCTGGTCAGATGCCCACTTAGTCTTCTGGGCTCTGCCAGCCTGCATCAGCTGGTTCTCATTTGGCAGCTCTCCCGGATCTCTTTTATTTAGGAATTTGGGGGTTGTAGGTCAGGCTATGGGACCCTGGCTGAGCAGGGTTGAGTAGGAGAATCTGAGAAGGCTGTGTTTATGTTTGGGGCAGCATGAGGAGTGGGTGTGCATCCTTGCTACCACTTTACTCTTCATGCCCATCCCCCAAGCTTTTTGCCCACTCAGAACAGATTATTTTTAGCTTAGGCATCCCAGAGCTCTACTGTTTAGTTAGGGTTCTTGTCCCTCAAAAAGGTGGTCTAGTTAAGGAGGCAGACACATGTGATATGGCAGCCACCTGTCTCTAAGCTAGGATGACATCTGTGGGCACCAACCCAGCTCTGCCAGCAGTTTCCTCCACAAGGACACCAGACCCTATCCTGTCTGTCCTGGGGCAGTTGTGAGGAAGCAGAAACAGCTCAGGGGCAAACTGATAGGGTCCGCTGGGAGGATACTGCTATAGGGACCCTCTTTAGCAGTCAAAGTCCCTTAGTTCTGTCTGCCATGCCTGGCCCAGGGGCTAGGAGGCCTGAGGCAAGCAGCAAAGACAGAGCCACCACAGGGTGACAAGCCCTGAGACTGGAGGTAGATGTCCCTTTCCTCCTTGGGAGGAGCGGGGCTAAGGCTTGGTGAGAAGACGTACAAACACACCTTAGACGATGCCCTATCCAGAACATAGCTTCTCCTGCCTGTGGGCTGGTAGAATTGGAAATAGTTCCTCAGGCTCACTGCCCAAGCCTGGGAGGTGGAGGCTGGAGAAAAGGAAACATCTGAGTAGGTCTCCACCTCTTGTCTCTAGCTGCCTCCTTTGCTGCTGGAGGCCAGCATGACCTACTCACTCAGGGAAGAGCTCTGAATTCTCCTGGGCATTGTTCCTAAAGTACTTGAGGTCACAGCCATGGCCACATAACTCTCCCGTCTATGGATTGGAAAGAAACCCAGAGCTCTTAAATGCCATGCACAATGTCACCCAGCTGGAGCTGGAGTTGACACTGAGGTCAGAAGAACATCCTGGCTCTGTGCTGCCCACTCCCAGAGGTACCAGATAGTCCCCTAGGAGGGAGGGAGGAAAGCATGAGGACAGGGCTAGTGTGCTCCTAGCATAGCACCTGGGACATCCCCGTACTGCACAGGCTTTATGCACCTTTTTCATTTCAATCCCCCCAAATCACCTGCCCCTCAGGGTACAATAATAGGGTGCCAAGTCTCAAAGGTCTCTTAATCCCCAGACCCTCTTATATGACTCACCTTGACCTTCCTGTCGTCTGCTGTCGTCTCATCGAACTCCACCCCTAGCTTGAAGCTGATCTCTGTGTTCTTGAAGGTGCTGTGTGTTTTTATGATGATAGTGTCCCCATTCATTTCGATGACTGTGGTAGGCTTGGTCATGTTGGCCACCTGCCTGGTAGCAAAACCCACACCTGAGGGCAGGGGGAAGGTTATTAGCATGAGTAGAGTGGAAGGACAGGGTACAAGGACCTCAGTGAACAACCCTCAGGCCTGGATGTGGGGCAGAGCGAAGAGTATGAGAACTTTCAGAGATTCTGGCTGTTTTTTAAATTGTTTTCTTGTTAGCTCTGTGCAGCGAAGAGACACTTGATTTCACTGGGCAGATGGGAAGTTTAAGGGACAGGCATGCCACAGCAAGTCGTGGCAGATCTTAGAACAAGCTACTTTCTGTGTGGTAAGAACTGAAGGTGTGTTATCTCATTCAGCCCTTCATTCTCCCTGCAGGCTGTGATGCTATTATCTCTACTTCACAGATGCAAAAACTGAGGGGTCAAACCCAGGCTCACGGGTCTGGAATTGGAACGCGGAACCGTTTGACTGAAGAGCTCATGTAACTGCTCAGCTGTACTGTCTCCCAAGGCTGGAGCTCAGGGCTCCCTCCCAGGGCACCTGAGCAGCTTTCCAGCCACAGGCTGAGGAAAGGAGAGAAGTGTGGACTTCGCCTTCCAAAGCCTGAGGGACAGGCGTTTCCCACCTTTGGAAGTTTTTGCCCTGAAACCCACTGGTCTCTGTATGGCAGCAAGATATTTTCAAACCCCCTTCTCCATGACCTAGGTAGGAGGTAGGCAGAAGGGAGTGTGTGTCCCAGTATACAGATTTAGGAGAGGCCTGAGTGCTAGTGCATCAGGACTCCAATCCAGGTCTCCTGGCTCCAGGTCTGAGGCCCTATGGGGACTCCCTGACTGACCAAAGCATGGCTTCCCTGGGTGCTGGGCAAAGCCTTCCCTGAGTGCCCTGCAAGAGTGTGAAACAAAGAACTCCAGCAAAGCCTTAACCCCTTCAGGTTACAGCCTCCCCGAGATCTGGCCTTTTGCCTCCAACCTTCCATCACGACGGCCTGCCCTTCTGCCTGCAGCAGCAGTGGTGAGCTGTCTTGCGGGGCAGAGGCGAGGCAGGAACAGCCTAGTGTGGGGAGCTGGTGTGCCAGCCGACAGTGTACTTGCTGGAAGTGAGGTGTGGCCTGTTGGGGTTGTTTCACTTAATGCTCCTAACACCTAACAGCCCTGAACAGTAGGTCTTATTATCCTCACTTTACAAATTAGGCTTGGAGAGAAGTGACTTGCCCAAAGTCAAAGAGTGAGTGATAGACCTGGATACGAATCTAGGCTCCAAAACTTGTTCACTCTTCTCCTGGGCCATTCTCCCGGTGTGTACTTCCTCCTGGCACCGAGGCCACCAGGTGGGCCTGTGCTCACTGGTACTAACTAGGCTGGGTCTGTCTGCCCCCTGAGGACGCTTGGTCTAAAACTAGAGGGGTGAGGGCAGCTTCTGCCCTGCCCGGTCAGTTAGGGACCTGGCCTTAGCCCCTGCTATTGGAGTGAGTCAGGCTGATCCCACTCCCCAGAAGAGAGCAGGACCTTGTCACCATGCAAGGAGCTCTGTTTGCTTAGGACCTACCCAGAGGTGTGGTGTGTTTGAGAAAGGAAACCACTGTGGGGTGAGTGAGGGACAGCCAAGAGAAACTGAGACCAAAAATGGGGCTGATGATTTTGGAGGCTCAGAAAGAGCTGGGTTCTACTTAAAAATGAAGTGGAAGATATTTACAGAGAGCTGAGGATGGTCTTTTCTCCCCTATGGACCTCTCATCCTTTCCATCTGTGTATGGAGAAAAGCAGGATGATACATTCTAAGCCCTGTAGCCCAAATCTGCCCCTTATTTGGGGCAAAATAAGGGAACAAGTGTGGTAAGGATGTTGCAGCTCACTTCAGGGACATACGTCTTCAGTTGGAATGTCTGCTATGGGAGGCTTGGGGGGAGGGGCTAACTCTGGGCATCCCAACTTCCCAACAGCTGCCCAGGGCCCACTGCTCCAAGAGGGGCTACTTTCCTGGAGTCAGGGGCATAGTACCCAGCATACTATGGTGGGGCATGAGAGCTTTGACCTCAAGAGCCAACACTTGTGGTCCCTATTTCAGGAAAGGGTTAGGAATAGAGGGGAGAGATGGGTCCCCCACCCCTTATTTGGGTACCTGCCAGAATCAGCCCCCCTTCCCTGATAGGAAAGCATGGAATGTAGCTCAGCTATGAACAATATTCTGGTTTCCCTGTCCCAGCCTGGGTGGCTAGGATAATCTCATAGCTGGGGATTTAAGAGAAAGGGTATCCACCTTCTCCATCTAAGCCCGTAGTAGGAGGGAAGGGCTGAGGTCAATCATTAGCTAAGCAGTTCCTACCACTCCCACCCCCAAGGTCCATAGTGGAAACTATTCTGGGTTGCACATCTAGAAATCTAGGTTTTCACATCAGCTCTGCTGTGGGATTGATCTGACTAGTTTGTACTCTCTCTGGGTCTCAGTCTCCCCATCTGTCAAACTAGGCAAGGCATGGGGGATCTCCAAGGACCTCAGGTATAAGGACTCGAATCTTTATTCTTCCCCATCCAAAGAATCACACCCTCCTAGACCTCTCTGCCTTTAACAGATCTTGGCCTTGCTCCAGGACCCTGCTGCACCCGGGGAAGTCTAGTGGTTTTCTCCACCAGACCCCTCCCCAACAAGTGGCTGAGCCAGCAGGTGATGGGTCCTCCCACCCCGCCCTACTACTAGGCTTACAGTGATTAAAGCCTGGTTACACACCACTGCAGGAGGACTTAGAGACTGCATGGTGAGAGAAAGGGCATCCTCCGGCAACCATCCTTTCTCTAGTTCAACATGGAGGGGCAGGGTTTTTTGCTAACTGTGCGGGGCCCCTATCTCGCCTTCTCCTCATATCCCATTCCCCCGCTGTTCCCCTCTCTTCCCATCTCCCTCCTAGGAGTTTGTACTTTTTTATGCCATAGTACATTCCCCAACCGCCCCATTCCCTTTCTGTATTCACACTTTCCAATCCGTAAACCACCCATGTTCCTGCTTTTTTCCTCCTCCAGCTAGCCTCCCACCTTCTGCGATGGATGCTTCCTTTTTACACAAACCCACCTCTCTCCAGATACTATGTATTCCCCTCTTCCTCGAAAGCGCCTCCGTGCCCCAACATCGACCGGCACATCTTGCCTCCTTGCGCCCCTCTACCTGGGAATCCCTCTAGCCATGTTCTGACCAGAAAGCCCCTTTCCAACAGGCCTCGCGTGCCCTAGCCCAGGCTGCCACCTTCTCCGCGTCCCCTTGCTCCCCCACCTTGAGCAGGAGGGATGCAGCAGCCGTATGGGGTCTAGCCAGCGCCCGAACGCTGTGCAGGGCTGCGCACGCGGCCAGGCTCTCTCCAGCCCAGTATCCCCGAGACGCGCTCACCAATTGACTTCATGTAGTCATCGAAATTCTTGCTGTCCACTAGCTTCCAGGTGCCCACGAAGGCGTCCACCATGGTGAGGCTGGGCTAGGCGAAGAAAGCAGAGGCGACAGAACCTGCGTGCGAGGACTCTGGGACCCACGGTTCTCAGCCCGCGCTGCCGCTTTAAATAGCCCTTGTATCACGTGGTGAGGCGGGGCCCACACCCCCAGCTCCCGAAATAGGAAGCCTCGGGCCGGCGCTCACCCGCCCCGAGCTGGCTGCCCATCCCCCCCGACCCGCCGAGGGGGAGGGGGCAGCCAGTGGCGCCCGGCTCGCCTGCGTCAGCGCGGGGGCCCGGCCTCCGAGTCCCTGCCCCGCGCTGGCAGGACCTGCTCCCTTCCCTGGCCTCAAGGCGCCCTTCGCCATCTGAGAAGGAAGCAACTGGGGGCGCGGTGCCCGCGAGGTGGGGCGCGCGCCGCCGACACAGTCCCCCAGTGTATCCCCGAGCTTGGGGTTAGAGCAGAGATGAAAGACGAGGAGAAAGTTAACGCCCTTGGGCTGATGCCCACGCCGGGAAAGCTCTGGCTGACTCTTCGTGGCGCAGGCATTGCTCCTCATTTTGCAGGTGAGGAGTCCAAGGCTCAGCGGGGAACTTACAAGGTCGCAGGAAATAAGGCGAGGGTTCGCTGGAGCCCAGATTGCAAGCCTGGTCTAGGTGGCCTTGGAAGCCGCGCTCTCCCGCCACTCCCCACTTGCCGGTGACCGGAAGAGTCACCAGGGAGGGGCACCGTGGGCAGCTGAGCTACCCCTGTGCCCTCCGCCTGCTTGGGGCGAGAGCTTGACCCATCCCGCCGTGCCCTTCCCGCCCCGCACGTGCTCGCCCCTCCCTGTGGAATGTCTCCTGCGCGCGCGTTTCCTCCTGCAGTGCCCCTCCCCGTCCACCTTAACAACGCTTCGGGCTCCTCTGACCTCTACGCGGGGCTCTGAGCATTTCATCAGGTTGTTTCCCCCCTCACCTCCTTCAGAAATTCTGGCCCTCCAGCCAGCTCTTCCAGGCCCTGGGGCCACTCCCCACCTGCCGCCCTTCTTTGACCTTTGCACACCTGCAAGCAGCTTGCACTTTCACGGAATGTCACTCACCTCCTTGAAAGACCTCCCGCGTGGTTGACGCTTTTCAAAGCGCTTTTAATAGTAAGATCACCTTGTATTGGTGTTTATTTCATGCTGAGGGCTTTAAGTACATTTTCGCATTGAACTTGCCGAACAAAGTCCACGAAGTAGGTTTTATAACTACTCCTGTTTTACAGATGAGCAAATGGAAGCTTGGAGGAGCCCATTCATTTTTTAATCCAGCAATTATTGAAGCGCCTACTTTTTGCCAGGCCTTGGGCTGGGCTGAGGAGACACAACCATGAATGAGACACACACTCACATCGCTCACTTTTGGGTAGACAGACAAAACTAGTGTGACTCTGAGGGGAGGCCTGTCCTGATCTAGGAGCTCAGGGTAGACTTCCCAGAGGAAGTGAGGGGTAAGCGAATGCCTAACAGATAGGAGGCTCTGCATAAGGGTGTTGTGCCCAACAGAACCTCAGCCAGCAGAGGTCCACGGTTGGCGGGGGTGGGGGGGGCAAGCATCTAGGAGCCACAGGCTCACTAGCCCTGGGGTCCTGCCAGCTCATTATCCCACTGACACTCCTTCCTGGGCCTCTGTTTCTCCCCTACCTCTGACTTTCTGGGAAGAAGCCAGGGAGGAAGAGCCCTCTCTTGCCCAAGGTCCTGGTTCTTTGGGGCAGGTCCACTTGCCAGAAGACAGGGGCCTATTTCTGCCAAAGCTGCAGGGACAGGCCTTAGGGCTGGGCATGGAGCCCTGGTGACCTCATTGCCGGAGCAGGTGCAAGGGAGGGTTGGGGGAGAGAGCGGGATGGTTCCTGAGTCAAGGTCACAACCTTTAGGTTGTGGGACTGAGTAGGTGGAGACCCAGGGGCCAGAGCTGTCTCCCTCCATGGTCCTCATGATGCTGCCGGGGAGAGCTGGGGCTGGGGCGGGTAGCTGCAGGCAGGTAGATCTGTGTGCCAGTTCTGATTCCCTGGGGTACTCGCTTTGTGGCTGTGGGCGATTCCCTTAAGCCACTGTGAGTCTCTGTTTCATCTTGAAAATGGAGGTAATGACAGTATTTACCCCTTCGAGGGTTATGTTTGGGGATCAAATGAGATAATGCATTTTAAAATGCTGAGCATGGTGGACCTCATGCTCGCTGCCACTGCTGTTACTGTTCCTATTATCCACGGACAGTGCAGGGGTCTCAGACCTGCTCTCAGCCCTGCCCCTCACCTGCTGGGCCCCCTACAGCAGATTGCTTAGCTTCTCTAATCCTCAATTTTCTTACTTCCAAGACAAGATTAGAACCTGCTGCAGCAGTGAGGAAGGGACTGCAAAAATCTTCGGGAGGGTTGAGGGGGACACTGCTAGAAAGTCCTTGTGACCCCTCTCTCGGGCCCTGCCTCCGCTGAGCAGCATGGAGATAAAGCCCAGACCCACTAGCCTTGCTGCCGTATCCTCATCGCCCCACCATGCCCAGACCTGGGTCACCGAAGTGGACTCCGAAGCCACACCCTATCTGCTTTCCACTGAGCTTTCATTCTTCTCCCTCCCAAGTGTGCACAGCTTCTCATCCCTCTCATTACCTGCATCCTCCTTGCCCTGTTCTCCTCACCGCCTTTGGGGAACGAAGGGCAAGGGGAGGGAACTCGAACCCTTCCCTTTTCCTGCCTCTCTCTTTCACCCTGGCAGATCCAGATGTGAATACATCTGGCAGGCAGCAGGACCGGTCCCTGCCAAGAGCATCATCTGCCCAGCCCTCGCCCTGTGGTGATGTCACTGTTCTGTGTTTCCACAGCAACCGCAGGCTGGGAAGATGGAGAAGAGGAGCGCTGAGTAACCATGAGAGAGCCAATGAGAGGGGCCGGCAGCACCGGGTGATCCGTGGGGCCATGGGGCGGGGCGGGGGGGGGAGCACGAGGAGGTCTACTCAGCATCTCTAGCTCTGCCCTGGACCCTCCCTGCCATCTGGACGCCTCCAATAGGGGATGTGCTGCTGGCATGGGGAGAAATGTGGGAGGTAGAGGCCAAAGAGGCTGAGCTGGAGCCTTCACTGACCCAGGGACATAGAGACCCCTCCCCCCACTTTGCCCCTTTAGGGCCTCAGTCTGTGGATGCTGACTGCCCCCACCCCACTCCACCCCCAGTACCTGCATCTGGACATTTTTTCTTTGGATGGTAATGGTGCGGCTCTCTGCCATGGAATCAAGTTCTTAACCCTTCCCTCCACATCCCCCACACCCTCCCCTGGTGCATGATGGGTTCAGAAGCAGCACCTTTGGAAAGAAGCCTGGTTCTATGTCCCAAACCAAGTGAGTCTCACTCCAGAGCCCCTAGAGCTAGGAAGGAGATAGATTCACTCACTCATTCACTCATTCATCTATTCATTCAATATTTCATATACTCGTTCATTCATTCATTCATTCATTCATTCATTCAATAATCCATATACTCACTAGCCACTTACTAGCTAGAGACTAGGAGCCAGTCCCTTCCCCTTCCTCTCCTTTCCTCCCGAATGGAGAAAGGCCATCTACTCTCAGGGTTGACATGAGGATTAAAAGAGGTAACATATGGAAGCCTAACACACACAAATGCTCAATGAAGGGTGATTCCTTTCTCCCTCTGGGTCTCACCAGGGCAGTTGTCCCAGAGATACACATGAATAAGCCAAGGTCCTTTGAGACACTGAACAAATAGCAAAGGATCTAAGTCTATCTCTTTCTCCTCACTTAGGTCACTGAGTGCCTATAGAGACTTCAGAGAAGTTTCCACATTTCTCCCTTTCTCTCTCTTTAAGTAATCCATCCATTTTACCAATCTTAATTGAGCACCTCCTGTGCCCAGACACTGTGCTGGGCTCAATGGGGACCCAGGAGGGAGCCACAGCCCCTGCCCTCCCTGAGCGCACCATGTAGGGGGATTGCAGCCACTGTGGCAGGAATGCAGTGTTCTTTCTGCCACTAGGAAATCACTTCCTCGTTCCCCAAGAGTTCTAGCTACTCTGAGGCCGAGGGAACAAATGATGGTAAAAGATAGGGTTTACTCAACACCAGTTTGCTTCTGAGAAGTTGTTGCCTGTGGCACCTGCTCCCGGGAAGGAGAACAATGGCTCTGTCTGCCCAGGGAGGAGAGGGGCCAGCTCAGAGTGGTGGGGCAGGCACCTCTGCTTTCCCAGAAACCAGATGTCCTCCCTGCTGGCAGAGTAAAGGCCAAACTCTTCCGCCTTGCTCCATCTGTTTCATTAGTTGAGTATTACTGAAATCCTGTTCCAAGAATAGTGGCTGGCAGATAGTAGGAGTTAATGAATAAATATTGAATGAATGAATGAATGAACGAGTATATGGAATACTGGATGACTGAGTATATGGATTATTGAATGAATGAATGAATGAATGAATGAGTGAATGAGTATATGGAATATTGAACGAATAGATGAATGAGTGAATGAGTGAGTGAGTGAATCTGTCTCCTCTCTAGCTTTAGGGGCTCTGGAGTGAGACTCACTTGGCTTCCCATCCTGCGCCTTACTTATAGACCAGCTCTGTGACCTTGGGCAAGTCACCATCTCTCTGTCTGTATTTCTTTATCTGAAAAAAAGCACATCACAATTCCCACCCAGCCAGCCTCCCAAGGACTCTAGGAAGATAAGGTAGGATAAGCTTGGGAATGCAGTACAAAGGTTAATTGTTTTTCTTCTCAGCCTCCTTCCCAGAAGGCACCTGACCCTCCACAACCCCCAGGCTCTGGCCCCCACCCCACCTGCCTCTGCAAGCCCTCCACACTGCAGCCACTCTGCCCTTTTCTATCCCAGGCAGGTGCCATGTTTGTGTGTTGTGTTTGCCTAGAGTACTCTTCCTCCCTAGCTGCTACTCCTTTAGTTACTCCTATTCACTCTTCAGCTTAAGAAGCCCCATCCTCCCTATCAGAGCACCGACCCTGCTTTCATGTGGTCCACTCAGCTCTGAGTCTGCCTTTCCTATTACACCAGAAGCCCTGCGAGGGCCGGGACCCAGTTGGTGTGGCCGTCTGCCATGTCCAGAGAGCCTAGTACAGGGCCTGGCACGGATCTGGGGAGTGGACAGTCTCTCCAGAGCAAAGG